AGCCTGCTTCTCCCTCTCTTGCTCCCCCTGCTTGTGTTCCCTCTCTCGCTGTCTCTCTCTCTGTCAAATAAAAAAAAAAAAAAAAAGCATTTCGGGGCACTTGGGTGGCTCAGTCGGTTAAGTGTCTGCCTTTGGCTCAGGTCATGATCACAGGGTCCTGGGATCGAGCCCTGTGTTGGACTCCCTGCTCAGAAGGGAGTCTGCTTCTCTGTCTCCACTCTGCCCCTATCCCCTGCTTGTGCTCAATCTCTCTCTCTCGCTCTCAAATAAATAAAATCTTAAAAAAAAAAAAAAAAAAAAAAAAAACCAACAACCAACCAATGGCTCAACAAAGAAAGCAAAAAGAAAATTAAAAAAATACATGGAGACAAGTAAAAACTAAAACACAATGGTCCAAAAGCTTTGGCACAAAGAGGAAGCAGTTCTAAGATGGAAATTGATAGCAATACAACCAAAAAACAAGAATAATCTCAAACAATCCAACCTTACAAAAGAAACTAGGAAAAAAAAAAAGCAAAGCCCAAAGTTTGTAAAAAGAAGGAAAAAACTCAGAGCAGAAATAAATGAGACTAAAAAATAATAAAAATCAATGAAACTAAGAGCTTTCTTTGAAAAGATAAATGAAATTGACAAACCTTTAGCCAGACTCATCAAGAAAAAAAGTGAGGGCCCAAATAAATGAAATGAGAAATTAAAGAGATGTAAAAACCAACACACAGAATTACAAAGGATTATAAGAGACTACAACGAAAAATTACATGCCAACAAATTGGACAACACAGAAGAAACCATTAAATTCCTAGAAACGTACAATCTTCCAAAACTAAATCAGGAAGAAACAGAACACCTGAAGAGACCAATTACTAGTAACAAAACTGAATCTGTAATCAAAAGGAAGCTTCAGAAACTAGGCAATATACTCTCAGGTTGAGGTATGAAATAAACTGTTCTTCCTCCAAAAATCAAAGACAAAACAAAAATCTCCCAACAAACAAAAGTCCAGGACCAGATGGAGTTACAGGTAAATTGTACGGAACATTTAAAAAAGAGTTAAAGCCTATCCAAACTATCAAGCTATTCCAAAAAAAACAGAATAGGAGGAAAGCTTCCAAATACATTCTACAAGACCAGCATTACTCTGATAACCAAACCAGACAAAGACACTTAGGAAAAAAAAAGAAAACTACAGGACAACATCCCTATGAACACAGATGCAAAAATCCAAAACAAATGCTTGCAACCAAATTCAACAATACATTAGAAGAATGATTCACCATGATGAAATCAGATTTATTCTGGGGATGGTTCGATATCCTAATCAATCAATACACCACAATAACAAAATGAAGGATAAAAATCATATGATCATCTCAATAGATGTAGAAAAAACATCTGACAAAATTCAACATCTGTTCATGATGAAAACTCTCAACAAAGTAAGTTTAGAGGGAACATACCTCAACATAATAAAGGTCATATATGACAAACCCACAGATAACATCATACTCAAGGGTAAAAAACGGAGAGCTTTTCCACTAAGACTGGAATAAGACAAGGATGTCCCATCTCACCACTTCATTCAACACAGCACTGGAAATCCCAGCCACAGAAATCAGACAAGAAATAAAAGGCATCCAAATTGATAAGAAGTAAAACCGTCACTATTTGCAGATGACATGACATTACACAAAGAAAACCCTAGACTCCACCAAGAAGTTATCAGAAGTGATAAAAGGATTCAGTGAAGTTGCAGTATACAAAAATCAATATACACAAATTGGTTGCATTTCTATACACTAATAACAAAGTGGCAGAAAGAGAAATTCAGAAAACAATTCCATTCACAATTGCACCAAAAAGAATAAAATACCTAGGAATAAACTTAACCAAGGAGGTAAAAGACCTATACTCTGAAAATTTTAAAACACTGATGAAAGACATACCATGCTTATGGACCAGAAGAATTAATATTGTTAAAATGTCCTTACTCCCCAAAGCAATCCACAGACTGAATGCAATCAATCCCTATCAAAATACCAACAGTAATTTTCACAGAACTAAAACAAATAATCCTAAAATTTGTGTGGAACCAAAAAAGACCCATAATAGCCAAAACAATCTTGAGAAATAGAAATAAAGGTTGAGGTAACATAATCCTCAAGATATACTACAGATTTCAAGATATACTACAAAACTGTAATAATCAAAAAAGTAAATTAATGGCACAGAAGAGACACAGATCAATGGGACAAACTAGAAAGCCCAGAAATAAACCTATGTTTATGTGGTCAATTAATCTATGATAAAGGAAGCAAGAATATGCAATGGGGAAAAGACAATCTCTTCAATAGTGTTGGGAAAACTGGAAAGCCACACACCAAAGAATCAAACTGGAGCACTTTCTTACGCTGCACATAAAAATAAACTCAAAATAGACTAAAGAACTAATGTAAGACTGGAAACCATAAAATTCCTAGTAGAAAACATAGCTAGTAATCTCTCTGACATTAAGTGTTAGCAACATTTTTCTAGATTTGTCTCCTCAGACAAAGGAAACAAAAACAAAAATAAACTGGGACTACACCAAGATAAAAAAGCTTTTGCACAGCAAAGGAAACCATGAAAAAACAAAAAGGCAACTTACTGAATGGAGGAAGAAATTTACAAATGATATATCCTATAAGGAATTAATATCCAAAATATATAAAGAACATATACAACTCAACATCAAAAATACAAATAATCCAGTTAAAAATCAGACAGAGGACCTGAACAGACACTTTTCCAAAGACGTACAGATGGCCAACAGACACATGAAAGATGCTCAACATTACTAGCCATCAGGAAAATGCAAATCAAAACCACAATGAGATACCACCTTACACCTATCAGAATGGGTATTGAAAAGTGAGAAATATTAAGTGTGAGCAAAGATGTGGAGAAAAAGGAACCCTCATGCACTGCTGATGGGAATGCAAATTGGTGCAGCCACTGTGGAAGACAGTTTGGAGGTTCCTAAAAAAATTAAAAACAGAAATACCATACGATCCAGTAAGCTGCTACTGAGTATTTACCCAAAGAAAAGGAAAACACTAATTCGAAAAGATACATATATGCACCCCTACGTTTTAATGCAGCACAATAGCCTAGATATGGAAGCAACCCAAGTGTCCTCTGATAAATGAAGATGTACTTTTATACACAATGGAATATTATTCAGCCATAAAAAAGAATGGATTTTTCCGATCTGTAACAACATGGATGGACATAGAGGGTATTATGCTAAGTGAAGTAAGTCAGACAGAGACAAATACCATATGACTTCACTTATATGTGGAATCTAAAAAAAACAAAACAAACAAACAACTGAACAAAAAAAGCAGAAACAGACCTGTAAATATACAGAATAAACTGGTGGTTGCCAGAGGGGAGGGGAGTGGGAGAATTGGCAAAATGGGTCAAAGGGAGTGGGAGGTAGAGGCTTCCAGTTACAAAATGAGTAAGTCATGGGGATAAATGGTACAGCATAGGAAATAATATAGTCAATAGTATTTTAACAGTGTTACATAGTGACAGATGGCAGCCACATTTGTGGTGAGCACAGCATAATATATAGAGTTATGGAATCACCATGCTGTATACCTGAAACTAATATAACACTATTATGTCAACTATACTTCATTTAAAAAAAGAGAGAGAGAGGGCGCCTGGGTGGCTCAGTTGGTTAAGCGACTGCCTTCGGCTCAGGTCATGATCCTGGAGTCCCGGGATCGAGTCCCACATCGGGCTCCCTGCTCGGCAGGGAGTCTGCTTCTCCCTCTGACCCTCCTCCCTCTCAGGCTCTCTGTCTCTCATTCTCTCTCGCAAATAAATACAATCTTAAAAAAAAAAAGAGAGAGAGAGAGTAGACAGCTAAATTTAATCAGGACTACAGTTTTGTCAAGCAGGTATGATGATGGCCAAGGAGGTAAGGGACTCAAGAAGAGCAGCTACAGTGATGGACTATGGAATCTAAGCAGATCAGGAAAGTAGTCAAGACAGGAAATGGAGGGAGCAAAAACATAGAGGGACCTAGGGACTAGGGCACCTGGGTGGCTCAGTCGGTTGGGCATCTGACTCCTGATTTCAGCTCATGTCAAGATCTCAGGGTTCTGAGATCGAGCCCCACATCGGGCTCCGTGCCCAGTGCAGTCTGCCTGTCCCTCTCCATCCCCCCAACTGCTCTTTCTCTCTCGCAAATAAAATAAATAAAATCTTTTTTGAGGGGCGCCTGGGTGGTTCAGTCAGTTGGGCGGCTGCCTTCGGCTCAGGTCATGATCCCAGGGTCCTGGGATCGAGCCCCACATCGGGCTCCCTGCTCCGCAGGAAGCCTGCTTCTCCCTCTGCCAACTCCCCCTGCTTGTGTTCCCTCTCTCGCTGTGTCTCTCTCTGTCAAATAAATAAAATCTTCAAAAAATAAAATAAAATAAAATCTTTTTTGAAAAAAAAAATGGAGAGGTCACTGGTAATACAGGAAAGTCGCCTGATGGACAGGAAAGGAGAACACGGTAGGCAGAAAGCATAAAATGGCAAGGTAGTCAGAGAGTTGCAAGCAGTCTGACAAAACATAACAGGGATCAAGATGAGGATGGAGAGAGAGGGAAGAGCCACAGAAGTTTTATCTAAAATGCAGTTTGTTCAGAATGAGAACTATCTTCTGAAGGACTGACGGGCCGTCAGATTTGAGTATCTGCAGGGCTATCAGACTTTTAAAAAGTCAATTCAGTTCTAGGGAACCAGAAAGGTGGCAGATACAGGGAAGCAGATTTCAAAATAAAAGAGAATGTCCTAATGACCAATGATTACATAAATAAATTGTCTTGAAAACTCTTTATGACTCAAGTGTTTAAGCAAAATTCCATGTTGCTCTGCTTGCAAGGCTGTACAAAGAATCAAACAGGGGACCACGAAGTCCCTTGCAACTCTGTGAAGGCAATAAGAGAAGAAAAAGCATTACTTACCAACTCTACACCTATTACTCCTGCACCAATGACAACCATCTTTTCTGGAACTTTTTTTAAGGATAAAGCACCTGTAGATGACACTATTGTATCTTCATCAATCTGTAATAAAATATATAAAATCAAAATTATTTGGAAAAACCTACTGTTTTATAAACTGACCTCACAAAAAATACTAAGACATTTATTTGTTTTGAGGTATCTATGACTTCTATCCATACACTCAATTTTATTAAATCCCATTAAAAATGCTCACTTAAAACTTCCATCATTTGGCATTTTAAAACAAAATGGTCAGTTTTAACTTCATCATGGATTCAAGTTCATCTTAATATGAAGTGTTCTATTTCTGGTCAAAATCACTGCAGAATAAAGACAGTCAGCTTCCCAAAGCTGAATGACTGTCAACATATAGTATTTCAGTTAGAAATTTCTCAAAGTTCATAAATAGCCTGAATAAAGTAGTTTATAAAAGGTCTTTTTGAAGGGAGATTGTACCAGTTGTAAAAAGCATACCGTGATTCCAGGAAAAGGAGTAACTTCTGAGCCTGTAGCTATAAGAATGTTCTTTGTATCAATAACTTGAGTGCTGCCGTCAGCTTTCGTAGCAGTGACCTGATTTTTGCCAGTTATCTTTCCATAACCATTTACGTGGACAACCTTTATAAAATAATGTTTATAGATTTACAAAGTTTGAAATGATTTTCGTGATTTAAAAAAACATGATTAATAGGAAAAAAGTACTCTATTAAATAACACATCCAATACAAAATGCTTCCTTACTTAGTAAGGCTACGCATGGAGCAGCAAAAAGTTCTGTATGTCAGAGAAATCTATTTCAGGTTAGCATACAATTTTTAATTAAATAAATACCCCCAGGAAAAAAACAAAACAAAACAAAACAAACAAAACCCAAAACCAAAACAAAACAAAAAAACCCCAGCAGCCAAGTTCTAACAGAATCGCTCTATCAGCATAATGTTTAATGTGTATGTAAAATAAAGCAGACGTCTGCACGTTAAATCACTGACCTTATTCTGTTTGAATAAGTGGGCAATTCCACCAGTTAAAGCTTTTACTGCTGTACTCTTCTGCTCCATCATCTTCTCCAAATTCAAGCGAACTTCAGACACTGTGGTTTGTTAAAGAAATCTTTAGTCCTTAGCTAAATTCTTGAAGCAAGAGGCTATTTTTCACTAATCAAGGTCTGGAAAATTTCAGCCTAATGCTTACAGAACTGTATAAAAGGCAGTATTAAAACTTCTTAGTAACTGATACAATAATCGTAGTTGGCAAAAAGGCCAACAGCATCATACCTCAATAAACAGAACCTTTCAAACACTGTAAAAAGTCCACCTTTGGGAAAAATTCAGTCCAAAATAGACATTATATCCCACTGTGGCAACATATTCTCCAAACACCTTATGATGATAGGTCTGGATGAGATTTAAATAGAAATGGCAAAGTAAAACACCTGAAATTTTAAGTAAAAAGAACACTGTTTCATGAAACAAAAACTAACAAAAATAATCATCTGAAAACTTTAAATATAAAAACTTAATATAAAAGAATTTAATAAACTGGATTTAATCACTCATTTAACTCAGAACTCTGAAGCAACAGTATAATAAGACTCAACACAACTTCAGAAAAGGGATATCTCAGCAATCAGCTCATGCAAGCAACACATATCTCAGAGATGAGGAAACAGAGACCCTGAGAGATTGGACTGACCTGGGGCCAAAGGGCTACAATAGGAAGCTTTGCCTACCATGCAGGTTCTCTTGACTAACCCCGTCTCTTCTTTCCTGAGTAAGGAAAGTACGTGTTCACTCTACCTTTCATCTACTTTGATCTATTTGCTTTAGTGTTCACATCTATACCCACTGGACTGCGTACTCCAGCCCATTCTTTCAGAAGCCTACTGCTACAAACAAATGAAGGAAAAACTATTACCCCTCCCCGCCCTCTGGTATGTTTAAGCTCTCCCTAGAACCCCAACCCTTCTGGATGTATCTGTCAACAACTGAAGAGAAAGGATGAAATGAAAACCGCCCAAAAAGAATGGTAGGATACAAGATACACAAACTTAAAATGGAATGGCCTCCTTTTACACTGTGCTGCACCCCACCCCTTCTTTGTTCTTCCCCCTACCAACTTAGGTAGACCAACCTACCTACCTACTAACCTTCCTTCCTTCTCTGCCCATAGCACTCAGGAATCCAGGGCCAGCTCCCCACCCCAATATCTCCAGGTTTCAGGGAAATTAAAACTGACTCTTCACACACATACAGCAGACTTCACGCCAAAGTTGTCAAAGGAACATAAGACGTCACAGTAAAAATCTGGATTTAAGCCCTCCTAAGTAAATCTCTCTACATTTTTAAGATCTTCTTTTACTCTTTACTCAGTAAAATATGTTACACACTCAGACATACATAAGGCTGTAGCCAAAAGAGTCAAGTCAAACATGGCTGGTAAACTGCTACATATGAAAAGTATACTTACTTTCAATTCCCCTAGATGCAAAATCTTTTCCATGGGCCATATGGTAATAATGAGAGTTATTTAATAAAGCCTAAATAGATAAAATCATCAGTGTTGATAATAAGACTATATACAATCAAAAAGCACTTAAGAAATGACATTCTCTACATGGAATAATACAAAGGACTACAACAATTCAGTTTCTGTTCTTATTAACCTGAGCCAAATAATAATGACATAAAAAACGTTCAACCAGCAGGAATGAAAAACAAAACACCTTTACTTTCTTTAAAATCAAAGGAATAAGTATACTCTTCAGGGTGGCAGGTGAAAAAGGCAGTCATGTCTACATACATAAAACACCTAAGGGAAGAATTTACTACCTGTTATCTGTTTCACTGGTAAAGGAAAGCAGAAGAAAAAAAAATGGAACATCAGAGCCTGTTTGAATGGAAAGGCTGGGTATTCTAAGAAGCAATTTCAGGAATGTATGGCAGACTGGTACAGCACCGTTTAAGCTTTACCGAGGAAAACATGGTTTTAATCAATCATAGCTAATAACTCTACTAGCCTCATGTTCTAGTCCTAATACATCCTTCTAATCGGTGGCTAATGAAAAACACCACTGCACTGTACAAAACACATGCTCACCTTAGAAGGAATGCAACCAACATTCAAGCACGTTCCCCCAAGTGTTTCATTTTTCTCAACGCAGACTGTCTACAACCAAAGAAAACATCATTTAACTGGATATATGTCTCAGTTCACTAAAATTCCCACATCTGTCTTAATTCTTCTACAGAACAAGTTACTGAAGCTGTGTTTCTGAGAATGAAACAGAGAGTCCTTTAAAATGTATCATTTCAGAAATAATGCTAAATGCAGGCTAACTCAAAAGTGAATTATGCTGAGACATTTTTGTTTGTTTAACATTATCAAACACATGCTCATAGTCCTATTACCGTAGCTTCCAAAGTGGAATTAGAAGCCAAATGTACAAAGTATTGGGGGAAGGAGGGAATAATGGACTTCACTATTTCATGAGAGCACCGCAACTGAGTAACATTCTTCATTCATCTCAGCCTATATACAATTTATAGAATAACCAAAAATTTACTATTACCATTAATGCGGGAAGTATTTTGTGAATACGGTCAACTCTTCCCAAGTAAAACTGTATCAAACCTAGTTTGGTCTAAACCTTACCTTGAAGCCCAGCTGGGCAGCTTTGATAGCAGCAACATATCCTCCAGGACCAGAACCTATCACTGTTACATCAGCATCGACTATAATAAAAGCAAATTGATATGAACAGTAAATTGCTTAATACTGACCAAAAACAGTGTATTAAAAAAAAAACAAAAAATCTGGTGTTTTAAACCTCCAAGAAAGTACAAAATAACCAGCATTTTCTACACAGTACTATTTCATTCCTAGACACCTGACGTTCTTTGACATAACTGAAAATGGCACAGATTTTTAAATTTCATTTTCTATTTGTTCATTAAGGCATATGGAAATACAACTCAGTTCTTCTTTTTATAAGATTTATTTGAGAGTGCACACACACGTGCATGCGACTAGGGGGAGGGGCAGAGGGAGAGAGAATCTTCAGCAGACTCACTGCCGAGTGCAGAGCCTAATGCAGGGATCGGATCCCACAACCATGACCTGAGCCGAAACCAAGAGTCGGACCCTCAAGAGACTAAGCCGCCCAGGTGCCCGACATCTGAGTTCTATATCCACTGTATCCACTGACCTTCCTAAATTCCACACTGTTTTACTTAAAAATAACAAGACAGGTTTTTAGTGACACTGAAAGACATGATCTGTATGAGGGAAAGAGCTTTGTTTTTTGTTTTTAATTTTATTTATCTGAGAGAGAGACAGAGTGCAATAGAGAGAACACAAGCAGGGGGAGCTGGAGAGGGAGAAGCAGGTTCTGTGCTGAGCAGGGAGCCCAATGCTGAAGCTCAATCCCAGGACCCTGGGATCATGACCCGAGCCAAAGGCAGACGCTTAACCAACTGAGCCACCCAGGCGCCCCAGGAAAGAGCTTTGGAATCTGACATACTTGGCTTCAAATCTCAGCTCTGCCATTTATTAGTTGTATGACCAAAAGACTTAATTTTTCTGTCATAAAGGAACAGTAACATTGCCTTAAATGATTTATTTAATGTTAGGATTAAGACAATTATCTGTACAATACCTTAGTACTGCCAATAAATTTAAGACTGATTACAAACCCCTTTCAGGTACTTCCGAGATACAGAGAGAAAAATCAGCTTCCCTGTAACAGACGGTAAACATGTTTTGAACTTTATTTGAATCCTGATAAATTTTGTATAGTTTATGATAACAGGCTAACCAGAACAGTAAATGAACTATTCTGGACATTCACCATATAAAGATACAAAATTTAAACTGAATTTTGAATCAACAACCTTAGGAATGTAATAATTATGTACTGTAATAATTATAACATAAATGGAAAAGTCCAATTATTCCCATTGTTCTCAAGCCAACTTCAAATAAAGCTTAAGAGTTAGGAGACAGTCTCCCTTCCATCTCCTCCCCCTCCACTGTCCTTACAACCCCAGGCATTTAGCAGTCTATAATGCATTTTCACATTTATTATCCTGTTTGATTCTTGGAACTTCCTAGGAGGAGGAATGCCTTCTAACTGACATTTCACAGATAAGACACCTAGGTTCAGAGAGGCCAATTAACTTGTCCAAGGTCACCTAGCAAGTGAGTGGCAGAGACAAAATTAAGCTTTTGTCTTTACTTCCAGTGGTCATTCCATTATTCAACAGTATTCTATTCTCAAATTTAAACTGCTGTAAACTAAAACCCTGAGAGCAATAATCAAGTGTTACAATTACTAGCTATCTGACCTGAGGAGAGTAGTTTAACCAATTTTACTTTCAGTTGCCCTATCTGCAAAATAAAGAGACCACAATAAAACCCTCCTTCATAGGGTGGTAATACAGAATAAAATAGCATATATAAATAGCTTAGCATAGTACCTGGAACATTCATAAGTATTTGCTATATGGTAGCTATATTATGACCTATGAAGATGGCAATTTTAATTTCTGGTCACCCCCCCCCCCCAACAGAGCACCCATCCCCCAGGGGATGGGAGTGCTAGTATCATGAAAAAATCTTTGCTGGCCTGTAAAGAATCACAGAACCTCAGCGTAGGAAGTTATCTAATAAGAAGTTATCCAACTGACAAAATCTAAGAATTCTTCCTCCTGAATAAATAAAAGGAGTGATTCTCTTTGGTTATATCACATAATAATTAGGATTACTCAGTACATGAAAAAAAAATGTATAGCTGGTCCAATACATGAAAAAAGTATTGCTTCAATTTTCACTGATCATTTGTGCTCTTTGGCTACACTGCTTGGTTCCCTGATTCATGTTCAGAATTAAGCATATAATAAAGTGTATATCTATTTTCAAGTTTTGAACCAAACGATGGCCTAAATTTGGGTTCTAATTTTCAATGCACAGTAATGAAACACAAGTTACACAATTTTTTTTGTTGAATTTTTAACATCTTTTCTGATTAAAATGTTTATTGAGTAAATTTAAATACAGAAAAGCCAAAAATGTTTTCATTTCCCAATGTGATCTTAAATTTTTTTTTCCTTAACTATACAAAATAGCAGAAATTCAGAACTATTCACCTCTCACTGCAGATATTAAATGTACCATTCCGTAAGAACACCACTAACGTGCTATGGAGCACAAAAAAAGAAGGGAAAAAAGTAAAGTCTTTATCTAAAGATCGATCAGCTGAGAATATAGGAGGGTTTGATTCTGTGATAAACAATCAAAAGCAAACCAGCACTTAGGGGATATCTCCAATATACTTGGAAATGTATCAAAAGAGGTGGACTGATGGATACACGGATGAACAGATCTGTGATAACTCAAGTACAATAAAATGTTAGTGGAAGAATCTATGAGTATTCACTGTAAAATTCTTAGAAGTTTTCTAAATGTTTGCAATTTTTCACAATAAAATGCTGGGAAAACCAACCAGTTGGCTCTCACCTGTACCAAAAGCTGCATGCAAGTGAAAATGAGGATACAGACAAATTGTTCAATGAAACAGATCAAAGAATACTTGATGGAAAATTTTACAAAATTAGCATTAGCCTTTCAGAGTGAAAAAGAAAAACTGAACAAGATACATAAACTGGTATCATGAGAGAAAGATGACTAAGTTAGAAATATGGCAGAAGACATTTGGATAGCAATCTTCATTTTAGGAGGCAGTGAACTATCCGGAGAAAGCTAACAGGTCAATACTTTAAAAAAATGCTGGGGTCCAATTAGGGGTGATTGACTTCAACAGACATGGCAGTTAATGCCATGAAATGAACTGAAGGAGAAAAAGCAAGAAAAGGTATTCTACAAATGTTACTTACTATAACATTGTGAGGAAAATAAGCATACCATGTTATCAAGGCTACCACTGAAATCAAGGTGTCAAATTACAAATCAATTACAGTCATCAACAAATTGCAAGATGTATACTAAGAAGTCAGTCTGAGATAATAGCTACCATATGGGTAATTTACTCTGTACCAGACAGTGAGCTAAATGTTTCATGCTGTCTTATTTAAGCCTCCTTATGTCTCTATGACACAATTATTAAACCTCCATTTGACAGGGAGAAAATAAGGCTAAGAGTAACTAAATAACCTGCATTAGGCTGCCCAACTAGTAAAGGATGTAGCCAGGTTTCAAAGCAGGTTCCTTATATTCAGAAGCCTTTGCTCCAATACCTTTCTGCTCTAATGCCATCAAAAACACTCAGATGATCCTATAATCTCCAGGGCAATCAGGAACTCCAACTAAAATGACAAGAAGCTCCTTCATTATCATAATGAAAATAACAAATATTTGTGAATACCTACCTTTTGTGGAAATCACTGCCTTCAATAACCTGACATTATAGTTAGGGAAAACAGGGACGTGTCAAAATGCAGATAAATCAAGCTTACTTTTAAAAAATAAAAAAAGGAATAAGAAAAGAGGTATCTTTGGAGGAGCAAGATGGCGGAGGAGTAGGAGACCTAAATTTCGTCTCCTCCCAGGAATTCAGCTAGATAGGGATCAAACCATTCTGAACACCTACAAATTCAACAGGAGATCCAAGAAAAGAATAGAAGCAACTCTCTGAACAGAAAAGCGACCACTTTCTGGAAGGTAGGACGTGCGGAGAAGTGAATCCAAGGCGATATTGGGGAGGATAGACCGCAGGGGAGGGGGCCTCTGTGGGCCGCTTCTGGCAAGTGATAGAGCCCCGGAGCACAAAATCGGAACCTTTAGAAGTCGGCTCCACTGAGGGAGTCGCTCCAGTGGCTAAGCGGGGGGGAACCCTCGCGGGACAGTGTGGTCTCAGGACCCTCGGGGTCACAGAAAGACCGGGGGTGCCTGAGTGCAGCAGAGCTCCCAGGTATCGGCGGGGAAGCCGGCTGCAGAGACGGAGCTGAGGAGCGGGCTCTCAGCCCGGGGTGGCCATAAACCGTGATCCGCGGCACAGTCGGGCCACTGCTCCTCCAGCAGGGACCCAACAAGCAGCAGATGCGGGGAGACTCACCTTCCTCCCCGGGGAGGAGAGGTTCGGGAGCACACCGCAGGGATCTGTTGGGTTTGGAGACTCTACACAGAGATAGAAACGCTCGGGTCACAGGCCGGGTGAGCATGGAGTGCGGCCAGAGACCGGGGAGACGGGAGTAATTGACTACTTTTCTTTGGGGCTCACTGAGGAGTGGGGCCCTGAGTTCTGGGCTCCTCCATGGCGGAGATTGGGAGGCCGCCATTTTCACTCTCATCCTCCAAAACTGCACAGAAAGCTTGCAAGGAAAAAAAGCTCCTGAGGGGGTGCCTGGGTGGCTCAGTCAGTTAAGCATCTGCCTTCGGCTCAGGTCATGATCCCGGGGTCTTGGGATCGAGCCCCACACCGGGCTCTCTGCTCGGCGGGAAGCCTGCTTCTCCTCTCCCTCTGTCTCCAGCTCTGCCTACTTGTGCTCTCTCTATCAAATACATGAGTGAAATCTTTAAAAAAAAAAAAAAAAAAAAAAAAAAAAAAGCGCTCCTGAGAGCAAACCCGAGCAGATTACTTAATCCAGACCCGACAAGGGCGGGGCAATTCCGCCTCCGGCAAAGACATTTGGGAACCACGGCAACAGGCCCCTCCCCCAGAAGATCAGCGAGAACAGCCAGCCAAGACCAAGTTTACCCATCAATGAGAACGGCAGAA